CAAATACCATTAATAAACACTGCCAGTAAGAATAATAAACGCAGAATGAAATAAAAATCTGATTTTACTCAATTACCTGTTCACTATTATGTAAATAACGAAATGTAAGAGAATTTCTTTTGAATTTTTTTTTAACTTAAAATAAAAACAAATTAAATCCCATTATAGGGTTAAGCAATTGTTAAGTATCAATGGAATCATCAATCAATCAATGTTAGATCACGATTAGAAACCTGGAAGAACAGTGAACACTAAGTCCCAGTCTAGGATGAAACAGCCTTTCAGTGTTTTCCGATTTCTAATGGTACCATACTAATTTGGACTACTTTAAACAATGGATTGTAACATTCGCTCTTGAAAATCGAGAACAACAAATGACGAAATGTAGAATCTTTCAGATATAAAATGTATAGTATGCTAAATGTGAAATTAAAATGAATGTAAAATATATTATGACAGTATGGCTTATTTCATTACTAACTATTAGGATATTCATCCAATATCCTAAGAGAATCATTGGTCAATTCCTATTGGTTAATTCCTATTGGTCAATTTTATGGTCATCCTAGATATCAATGTCACATGCTCCAATGTCGTTTCTTATTGGTTGTCCTGACTATCAATGTCAATTCAAATATTGCTTCCTATTGGTCGTCTTAGCTGTCAATGTCACAGAATTCGATGCTGTTTCCTATTCGACCAAAATGTATAAATACGCATTATCTGTAACGTTTTATGACCTCGACGAGGACCATGGCTCGGTCCCGGATCCCTAGTCCGGGATCCTGATTCTCTTCTGGATTCGGACCTCGTACTTTCTGGATGCTTGTAGAATACAAGTTCTACTTCATATCAGGTCTTCTTATTTTTACTCAGTATGGGATAATCGGATGTGAGTAGCATGTCGTGTCGCCGGATCCTCGATCCTCGCTCTTGTTTTCTGAGTAAGGTAAACTCGTAATAGGTTCAAGCATATCGAAATGACGTGTTTACGTACAGGCGTAACATTATAATTAGTAATATATAAATATTTCCCAAAAAGTCTAATATTTTTATATTTTATCAGAAAAAAAGCAAATCATCAATAATGATAGCTGATTATGAAATAGGATATATATTTCCATAACACTAATATACATTCAATATATATATATATATATATATATATATATATATATATAATGAGATTAGGCAACATTATTCTGTCAAACATGCAACTCACTCTCATCGAAATTTAAATTGAATTTCATGTACACTGTACCCAATAGATAAACGGAACGAATAAGATCAACCATAGAGCTGAAACTCTCTGTTTCACCGTACCTATTAGTGTTACAAAACAAAATCATACAATCATATATCATCATGAAAGCTCTTGAACAGAAATGAGAAATCAATTTTTATAAAAACTTTAAGTTTATATCAACTATTTTTGCTGTTATTGTAATTGTAAGTATTTCCATGAAGTGTGTACAGTTTCTTCAATGTGGTTATTGTTAATGAGTCGGAGAAATCACATGGTCAGAAATCAGTTTTCATATGGTCACAATATGCATTAGTATGAATAGAAAAACGAAATGGACAGAAGGAATAAATAAGAAAAAGAATGAAATGGTCTTTGACATTGATAAAAATTCCGAATGATGAGGATGAAAAGTTGAAAATGATGCTTTGTTCGACATAGTGTACAAGATTACCATCAATTTGAAACTATGTTTAGCTATGCTATACAAATCCTTTAGATTAAAGCTCGAGTAACTCATCTAACCAACTAAATAAAATGATGCGTATGCTGCAAATTACGAATCATTTGAGAATGCTTACCTGGAACTCTGTTCTAAATATTACCGAATATTATCGATTACTAACTTCCTATACATATATTCTGACATTAAAATGTCTAGCCAATGTTCAACATTGTAAGATTTTCTCGGAAAATTATTTTCTAAAATTTTCAGCTATTATAGTTATCAGGGTTTTTTGTTAGTCGAATACTATCAAGTCAAATCTTCCTCTTTTCCTTTCACCTTGAAGGTTCCATGTGAAGGCTTGTCTTGTGACGCAGTTAGGTGCTTTCACGGTGTGTGTCCTATCCACTTCTACCACTTCTTCCTGATTTCCTCCTCCATTGGAATCTGGTTTGTTCTCTCCCACAGTACGTTGTTGTTGATCGTGTCTGGCCAACGAATCCGAAGTATTTTGCGTAGACAACTGTTCATGAACAGTTCAGCCCTTGCTTTGCCAATCCGCGCCCTCAAATCTGCATCGGATCCAACTTGATTGTCTATTATGCTGTCCAGATATGTCAAGGTGTTAACGTCCTCCAAGGCATCCCCATGAAGAGTGATTCGGTTGGTGCATATATATATATGTAAATGAGAAAATATAATATAAGCCTTCTATATCTGTGCTAAAAATGAAAATTTATACAAATACTTACACAGTTATTCCAATTTATTGATGAATATATTTTATTTAAAAATGCTGTGTATTTTCGAGAAAAAAAATGAAAATAACATATACAACAACTCATAAAGAAAGATAATAAAACGTACACTTTATTAGAAATTTCACAAGCTTTCTTAAAGTACCCTAAAGATTCTTTCATATCATCTTCACTAGTTTGATATTCTTTAATCTGAAAAAATAAATGAAGAGGAATTAAAATGTATCGCCTGGAAATAAATGAATATGCAAAAGCATTGAATTGTGCATTGACCCTAATCAAGATTTAAAATAATCAAGTATGCCGTCTTTATATAACCTGTTTTCTATGGAGTTTATTCGAACGGAGAGGACAGTTTATTTTAATTATGGTTCACAGTAGAATCCCAGAAGAAAGAATGTGCGTTCATATTTTTCCCGCTGTCGTTAATTTAAAGTCTGCTAAAACACAAGACTATAATCAATATCGAAACAGTTCTCTCACGATGTCCATCTGTGGTGTACGCTACTTATGTTCACATAAGTAGTATATGATATCAAACGGAAATCAAACGTATGACAGCAAAAGATCGAGAAGAAAAGAATTGAGAACAGAAGGCGATTTGTAGGTAACGAACGTAAAGTGAACTGAAGTCTGAACAGTCTAAATGAAAGAAGAACACTGAAATCTGAAACAAATAAGGATTAGTTTGCAAATGATGATTTCACGGGAAGGTTTTGTACATATGCTTAACAACTCTGTAATATTCGCTTAAATATATATATATGTTGATGTCCCCACCTGCGTTTTCTTGTACAACACATCTATCAATAGAGAGAGATTGATTGTATGCAATGTTTAAAATCAACCACAGGGAAATTGAAATCCATGCATCAGAGTAAAATGGGTCTTTTAAGAATAACGATAAATCGATTTTCTCGTCTACCACTAAATTAATTTTTTTTATTCATGTTAAAATATTGAAAGTCGATCCAGTTTCTTTTTTCTTATCGAATCAATAGTAAAAATAATACACGAACGCGGGTAGGAAGTATTTTAAAGTTAACATAATTTCTTCTGACAAGAATCATGTTTTACACTTGTTTATTGTCAAAATGATATGCGTTTATTGATGCAGGAGAAGAAAATAGATTATTATTATTATGAAAGATTTGAGTTTTCATTTTACTTACTCTTAATATTCATTATTAATATTATCTTGAATACATTTAAAATAGTCATGTATTTATAAAGAATAGATAGAAATGTGTATTTAAAGTAACTAGTAATTGTCTCATGAAGTCACTGCTGAGAAATTACATGTATGTTTTCAGATGTTTTATTTAAAATCGATCCTATTTAAAAAAGATCATTTTAGCGTGATATTTTAATCAGAAAGGAATACTTACAGTTTAAGCATTGTCACTTGTCAATAAACTTCATTGTGTAGTTAGTTTATTTGTATCAAAAATATTATAAAACTTTAGTGCATATATTTATAGTTGATTTGTGTATTTTTGAAATGTGTCAGCCAGTTGCAAAGTAGAACTTCGTTCGTATGTACATAAGTTCACGTTGCCATACCACATCAGCACACACACGCAACTCTCAGTTCAAATCCAAGAGTGATAGCAATAATAGAAGTATTAGCAATAATGGAGAAGATTATAATTCGAAGATCTGACTCGAGAAGTATAATTCAGTGAGATAAATTTAGAAAGAGAAAGACAGAGATTATGAGGAATTCAGAAGGTTTGAATTAGAGAGAACACAAAGAGTGGATGCACCTGCGCCATTGCAAACGATTTTGAGCCATGTTATTCAACGTATCCAACTATTGGCGACTTCCGTCTCGCGGACCCCAACCAGGTAGTCTACATCTACCAACATGACTCAGTCCACTTGTCAGTGAATTCATGGATTTCTTCCATGTTTTGGTCTGACTGCCCCTAACTTTCTTCCAACCTACTCCTACACCATAAAACAAAGCTCGACGAGGCAGTCGTTGGTTAGGTATGCGTCACACATGTCCTAACCAACTCAACTGGTAAAGTTTCACCACTTCATCTATTGATTTGCCATCCCTACCTAGTACTCGTTTCCTAACGACAGCATTGCATATATGGTTGACTTTGAAACTTAGATTTAACATGACAATTGAGGCATTGACAAATTATCAACATTAACCAAGTATTAGTAACTGAAAAACAATCTTTGAGCTACTGTCAAATTTTACATAGTGACAACAGAAAATACTAACAAAGAAAAAAAACCCAATCATTTTATTAAAAAGCCAGTTCACTGAAAGGTATACTGAACATTTTTATAGAATATGTTCATTACTACATTTTCAATTTTCTAATCGTCCATCTTTGAGCCCAGTTCTAAGTAGATAAAAGTGACATAGTATGATAATAATAATAATAAGAGTGTTTAGTTGATAATAAACTCTCAAACAACTTCATTATGAAAAATTACGAAGACAAAATATCTAACTTGGAAGAATAATAATTCAGTTGTCATACATTTTGAGCTGAATGATTTAAGCACAAATTCTTATCAACTAACTAACTGTCTAACAATGACATAAAATAATTAACTGTAAAGGAAAGTTTACAAAACAAAACTAAAGAACTGAACTGTCAGTACTAATAAAACATGTTTAAATACATAAACTGACTTTTTTTAATCAAGACAACTAAAAATCATCGATCATAACTACTAACACACTCACACGACCAAGTGCATGATAAAGGGATATTGTTTCTTTGCTATTGGAACCATAGATTGCCTCGATAAGCTTCAATGCATGCATATATTGATCAAAAGATAGAACTTGCTTCTCACATTCAAATGCAATTCTATGTAATCAATCGATTTAAAAAAAAAACAGTAACAGTAGTACAATGTTCAATGTGAAAACTACTAGCATTAAAAAAAATTCATTTGTTACAGCTGTCATCTTTTCTTCTTTAATAAAACAAGGGGAGAGAAAAAAACAGTCTGTTATAACATGATTGTTTCTAATAAATATTTCACATTATAGTCTATGTGTAAATTTTGAAAATGAATTTTTTTAATAAGAAATTTACTGTTGTAAGTTGTACAACATATATATATATTTGCATTACGGGGTTGTGAAGATTGTTAAGTTACACATTTTTGAAACCATGAATCGATCAATGTTAGACCACCATTAGAAACCTGGAAGCACTGGACGGCCGTTTCGTCCTGGTATGGGACTCATCAGTGGCAGTGCGCATCCACGACTCCTGCACCCCGCAGGATTCGAACCCAGGACCTTCGGTATTGTGCGCGAACGCCCTAACCGATAGTCCACTGAATATGACCAAGTTAGACATTAACACCGGTAGATACCGGCTCAGTGGTCTATCGGTTAGGGCGTTCGCGCACAATACCGAAGGTCCTGGGTTCGAATCCTGCGGGGTGCAGGATTCGTGGATGCGCACTGCTGAGGAGTCCCATACCAGGACGAAACGGCCGTGTTTCAGTGCTTCCATGTTTCTAATGGTGATCTAACATTGATCGATTCATGGTTTCTCATATATATATATATATATATATATATATATATATATATATATATATATATATATATATATATATATATATACATTAAAACAAGCAGAATCGCTAACACTATCTATGGATATTAGTTATTAGATAAAAATGTAAGTACACTGGACCTTTGATCGTACTGATAACAGTAATACGTTACGATCCCGATTTATATGTACAGAGTGCATGAACATAACTATCGAGTCATTTGACATAAACGTAAGGAGAAGTCAGCTTCAAATAGCTTGACTTTCATTTCTTTATTCAGATTTAGTCCTTAATGTATCAATAAAATTCAATCAATAAACGCTACGATAAACTGATGTTTGAATGTTTAGGAAATTATTTTAAAAAGAAAACACTCCATTAATAACGTAGATAAACAAATTTGAAAGTTATAGGACTTATTCTCCTGTGATTGTCACAAGAAGACTTTTGTCCTTTCTTATAGATTGGGGCAATCAGGGATTGAGAACACTCGGATTGGATTATGTTCAGTTTCCAGATTCTATCTAAGATCTCAGTCAACCTAGCTGCTAAAACTGGACCACCATCCTTAAATATCTCAGGGGTCAGTCTATCAGGACCTGCAGCTCGCCCTCGCTTCAGATTTCTTAACGCTTTCTCAACTTCATAAAGACTAGGGGGACTTACGTCGACTTGCCATTCAGGATGACTGGAGATCGTGGGTAACTGAAGAGTGGCTCGAGACCAGTTGACCTGGTCTCTAAAGTGTTCTGCCCATCGATCCAGTCTCTTGCATTGAGAATGGATAATAAGACCATCCTTTTCCGAAATAGTTTCACTCACATTTGGGTTCCTAATACCGGTTTCCCTGATAAGTCGGTACAACTGTCTGTTGTTGCCTATCGCCGCTGCCTTTTCCATCTCTCTCGCTTTCGCCACCCACCACTGTTCACGGTCGTTACGTAGGCTTTTTATCAGCCTGCGCCTAAGCTGACTTCTCTCCTCATCATGTTCAGAGCCAGGTGGGATGAATTTTCGAGCCTCTATCAGTTCAGTGGATACTAGTGAGATCCACGGCTTCATCCTAGGCTTATGGTTTGCCTTACTAGAAGATATCGCTGCTGTTAACACAGCCTTTTTGACATCATTTCAACCTGCTTCCGGATGGGAATCGCTTACATGGTTGCCTAACTCTTGTGGAGATGGAATGACAAACTTATTTTGTAAATAGTTTTTGATACTATTTGTATTTATTCTGTTAATTTTCACAGCCTGTACATTCACTATGAAATTGTTGTAAATTTTGTTTAAGTGTGTGTCCTTGAATATATCAGGCGCTTTAACTGCTCCACGTTTCCGTTCTTTGTACACATAGCACGGCACTACTTTACGGATATTTACATCATTTGGATTACTAACATTTCTATAATTGTGGATTTATAGTACCAAACACAACCGAACACGTACAAGCAGCCGTATAAAGTAACTTCCTTACATTTTTATTGTGTTTATTACATTTAACTGATATATTTCAATATACATCTGTTTGTATTCAATAACTTTGTTAATATTCTGAAATAAAAAATTGTTTGGTCCGCCACACTCTCTTTCTAGTTGCTCATGAAATATATTCTTAGCTTTACTATCATTAAGTAAAACCCTTAGAGGTTTCCTTACGGTGTCTTTCCTACGTCCAGTAAGCCTCAAACAAAGACGCGCTCACACTAGAGCATGATTTGAATCTAAACATGTGGTCCTGGACGAGCTGCAGTCCTCTATCGAACCCCTCCATCGGTGGCTGATGGCAATGAGATCTAGTTGAGTCCAACGTTGAGACGACTTTGGGGGTCGCCAGATACTTACGTACGAAGTTCTGCGTTGGATTAATTTATGACCCTACTGACTACACTATTAAAAAGTAATACACCTGATATAAATGTACAGTAATAATTTTATCAATAGTGAACTACTCACTTTCCGTACAAACAATAAATACACACTTTTAAAATTTTCAAATCTGGATAAAAGTTCTTATCCAATCGCATTAAAGTACAATGATTCAATTGTTGATAGTAATTTTCTAAATTTCTATCAAATTGTTCGGAATTCTCTTCAGAATGATCAGAATTTTCTGAAATATTTTTAGAATTTACAATGAAGTCAAGCAGTAGTTGTTCAACTTGATTCAATGCATTTTCAGCTTGTCTAATTAAACTGAGTGCAGTTTTTTTCCTGAATAAATTAATAAAGGTATATATATTAGAATAAAGTAATGAGAAGATGATAAGTGCATTACAGTTGGAATAATCTGATCAAACATATAATTACTAGGATATTATATATATATATATATATATATATATATATATATATATATTGACCTTCTACCAGGAAAATCACATACTGACCTAGAATATGCTGATGACATAGTTCTATTCGGTGAAGAATCTGACAAAATGCAGAGTCTTCTGACCACCCTAAGCATCAATGCAAGTATATTCGGGATGCGGTTCTCACCCTCGAAATGCAAAATGTTGCTTCAAGATTGGGTTGCATCGGCACCTGAACTAGTGATAGGGAGTGAAGTAATCGAACGTGTAGACCGCTTCACTTATCTGGGGAGTCTCATTAGCGCTCATAGCCTGGTGACTGACGAAATCTCAACACGGATACAGAAAGCTCGACTGGATTTTGCCAATTTACGCTGTTTATGGCGTAGGCGAGATATCAGTTCACTAAACAAAGGACGGGTGTACTGCGCAGCAGTTCGCTCCGTTCTCATATATGGATGCAAACAATGGCCGTTAAGAGTAGAAGAAGTTCATACGTTACAAGTATTCGATCATAGATATCTTAAAAGCATTGCTCTTATATCGTGGGACAACCGTATAAGTAGTGCTGTTGTTAGGAAACGAGTACTAGGTAAGGATGGCAGATCAATAGATGAAGTAATGAAACTTCATCAGTTGAGGCGGTTGGAACATGTGTTGCGTATGCCTAACCACCGACTGCCTCGACGAGCTATATTTTGTGGTGTAGTAGAGTGGAAGAAAGTTAGGGGTGGCCAAACCAAAACATGGCAGAAAGTCATGAAGTCACTGACAACAAGTGGACTGAGTCATGTTGGTAGATGTAGACTACCTGGTTGGGGTCCGCGAGACGAAAGTCACCAATGGTTATAGACCATGAACGATATAGCTCAAAATCGTTTGGAATGGCGCAAGTGCATCCATTCTTTGAGCTCTCTCAAATTCTAATCTTCTAGATTCGTCAGCACCTCTACCTTCGTCTTTCTAACCTTATTTCACTGAATTATACTTCTTGAATAATATCTTGAAACCCTAGTCTTCTTCATTACCATTAATAAGTCTACTACTTTTATCACTATGGGAATCGATTTGATATTTGCGTCTCTGTGTTAATAATGTGGTATGGCAACCTGAACTTATGTACATACGTACGAAGTTCTTCGTTGCAACTGACTGATATATATATATATATATATATATATATATATATATATATATATATATATATATATATATATATGGAAAATCATAGGTCAACTGAACAAATTGAGAAGTAAGAGACTATAATCATAATAATATAATAACACAATATTAAATTAACTCTTGATAATAAATCAGTATTACAAACTATTTGCTGACACATTATAAAGGTAGTTTTCATTTTTCAGGCACCCGAACATTGAACAAACCTTAGTATGTACATTTGAAGAATTAATATACAACAGGACAAATACTGACTTGATTTAACCCAACTGCATCAAAAATATTGTTTAATTATAGTTTTTACACAATGATTGGTAATTTCAAATGTGTAAAAACGCAAATCTCCAAAACTCTAACTGAAAATATCGTAACATGTGCTCACTAGTAACTGGCTTCGTGAGGAAATTCTCGCAGTTCTAGTGAGAAGACGTGAACAATGGAGTTCAACCCTGTCGGGTGTAGGCAGTAACTATTAAAGACAAATGGGTGAGGTCGCGCAAAATCCCTAGACCAATCAGAGTTAGACATGAACACCGCTGGATGCCGGCCCAGTGGTCCGATGGTTAGACGTTCTCGCACAATATCGAAGGTCCTGGGTTCGAATCCTACGAGGCACGGGAGTCGTGGATGCACACTACTGATGAGTCCCATACCAGGAGGAGACGGCGGTGAAGTGCTTCCAGGTTTCTATTGTTGGTCTAACAATGATTGATTGATGATTTCAAATGTATAAAAACACAAATCTCCAAAACTCTAACTGAAAATAATTATAGTTTGTTCAAGAGACATTCATGATTTAATTCTTATTTGAGTACAGAAAATTTAACTAGAATAGTTCAAACTAATTTAACAAGTTTAACAAAGTAAAGATAGCAAACATAAAATAGATGAAATAATCACATTAAGCTGTTAACGGAGTCATTGAAGGTTTGACAGGCATTTTAATGATCGATTAGTGGGAATCAAGGATATATCATTCATCTTCATAAACTTCTGTTTATCAAGGTTGTAAAGTAACCTACAAGCTGACCGGCTTAAAATCACAAACCAGTCGTAATTATTCAGTGACAACATTTTCACATATCACTCCTTGACATGCAGTATCGAAATTAATATGAATTATTACACTGAGATTTATTGCTTCCTGTTAAATATAATCGAATATTTAACACAATGACAACTTGTCAAACCCTATAAAATTGTGCCTTTTCAGTGTTTTGTCCACTCTGCAAGGATTTCAAACAAAATAGTCCCAGAGATGGTCATTGTATGAATCTTACTTCGAGTTATAGAAGATTATAATTTGTGTTAAGATTTATTATTAATATTTTGTTAAATAATTGTTAGGTTCGTCACTAGGTGCGCTTGAAGCTATTACGAGTTCACCGTAGTCAGTAAATGCCAAAAAGATAATGAACCAGCATCCAGGTAGGCTACCTTGATCCCCAAACTGCAAAACAGAAGTCTTGATAAGCATAGAAAGTATATTCTATAAACACCTAGCAAGCACAATACAATCAAACACGCAATCTCGTTTATTTATACATCATAGAAACGTCCTTGGGACAGTCACAAAAATAGCAAACTAAGATACACAGCAGCCAATCACAGCCATGGATTTTACCGGTGGGAAATGTGATCTCAAGGTCAACTGATTAGCCCATGCTAGCAAATGCGAAATCCAAGATAAGGCGCTTATCAAGTGAGTTCTGGGGATCTAACATCTTCAACAATTATAGAAAATGTGTAAAAACAAAAAAAGGGATTTCTAAATCTAGATTATTAATTATTTACACATTTTTGAAACCATGAATCGATCAATGTTAAACCAACACCATTATAAACTTGGAAGCACTAGATTGCTGTTTCGTCCTGAAATGGGACTCCTCAGCAGTGCGCATCCATGAATCCTGCACCTCGCAGGATTCGAACCAAGGTCCTTCGGTATTGTAGGCGAACGCCTATCCATCGGACCACTGAGCCGGTACCTAACGGTGTTAATGTCTAACTTGATTAATTCACGGAGTTGGGCAACCTCATACCCAGTCTTCGGTAGTTACTGCCTACACCTGAACAGGCGTGTACTATTTTCACTTCAAATGTTTTATGAATTGGTGAGTCTCACCATTGTCATCTATGAACGGCAGCAGACATAGGTTTTCAGTTAATTTTAAACTTCTAATCAGTATTCATTCAACTAAAACTTTAAATGGAAAGATTTTTTGGGTTCATGGGGGTTAAAAAAATACAAGCGATTAATATTATCAGACTCTATCAATTCATAATGTAAAGGAATCCTGCATTTTGATTATTTGTAAATGATTGCCTTACTATCACAAACTTTTTGACTTAGAAAGTTCTCAAGTTTATTTTTTATCTTTTTCAATAAATCAATCATCACTTACTTGTGTAAAATTATACTTGATTTTGCTAATGTATAATAATTCAATAAAATTACACAAAGAATAATTAGATTAGGAGGACAATCGTCCGAAATCGGCGAATTGATTTGTTGTCTAGTAGAATTTAAACTATATGATATTAATTTCATGGAATTTTCTGCATGATTTTCAGCTTGTAATGAATATTCTGAATAGAATCAAAAAACAATTAATTTAATTAATGACAATGAACAGAGACAAAGTGAAGCTGTACACTTTATTAACTTGTTACTACTCTCTGTAGAAAATAAGCAGCTAACTAGACAATCTGTGGACATTGATAGAAAATGATAGCTTAATGGATATGCGATAAGGTAACAACCATACATCATTTTTAACATCCGAAGCAACTTAGTTTAATCAGATTTTCAATAGCAGTGTATAATACTTTTCGGTGTATTTTGATGAACTGATGTCGTCAATACATGAAGGACAGCTAACAGACTCGTTCGAGGTGAAGACCGGTGTCAGGAAAGGTTGTTTACTCTCGCCCTTTCTCTTTCTCCTGGTGATCGACTGGATTATAAAGATGTCGACATCTGGAGGGAAACACGATATCCAATGGACAACTAGGATGCAGTTGGACGATTTGGATTTCGCAGATGATCTGGCCCCTCTATCGCACACACAACAAAAAATGCAAGAGAAGACGACCAGTGTAGCAGCAGCCTCTGTAGCAGCAGGTATCAACATACATAAAGGGAAAAGCAACACAACATGCGGCAACCAAATCACGCTTGATGGAGATACCTTGGAGGACGATAACACCTTTACATATCTGGGCAGCATCACCGACAGTCAAGGTGCATTCAATGCAGATTTGAAGGCATGGATCGGGAAAACAAGGGCTGCATTTCTACAATTGAACAACATCTTGAATTACAAACAAATATCAATCAACACCAGAATCAGAATTTCCAATACACATGTCAAGACAATTCTACTGTGTGAGGAGGGAAACTAAGAAAACTAATAAAGTCATTGTCCAGAAGATACAAGTATTTATGAACAGTTGTCTATACAAAATACTTCGGATTCGTTGACCAGACACCATCAGCAACAACGTAATATGGGAGAAAACAAACCAGATTCCAGTGGAGGAGGAAATGAGGAAGAAGGTCTAGAAGTGGTGGATAGGACACACACTATGAAAAGCACCGAATTAGAGAGAACACAAAGAGTATATGCGCCTGCACCATTGCAAACGACTCTGAGCCATGTCGTTTAAGGTCTCTAACCATTGGTGACTTTCGTCTCGCGGACCCCAACCAGGTAGTCTACATCTACCAACATGACTCAGTCCACTTGTCACTGACTTCATGGATTTCTGCCATGTTTTGGTCTGGCCGCCCCTAAGTTTCTTCCAACCTACTCCTACACCACAAAACATAGCTTGTCGAGGCAGTCAGTAGTTAAGCCTATCAGGACCTGCTGTTCGCCCTCGCTTTAGATTTGTTATAGCCTTTTCAACTTCATAAAGTTTCGGACGGCTTACGTCGACTTGCCATTCAGGATGACAAATTGACTATTATTTGAAACGTTTTACTGAATATCTTCCAATAATTGTTTAGCAATTAATTTTTTCAGATAATATCATTTAAAATAATTATTTAGAAATTGACTTACTTTCACCTTTGTAATTAATATAAAAATAACCAAGACAACATTGATATTGTGCATGATGCCAATCATTGATTTCATACACCATTCTACTGTAAGCAATACATTCACATAACCATTGAAATATTGAATCATGCTTCTAAAAATTAATTTTAATTATTATTCATTCATTCATCAATTTTTTTATTATGCATTTTTGAATTACATTGGAACAATTTAAAATGCATTCATTGATCATTATTTCATTTTGTGTTAACTGATCATTGGGAGTTTGCAAAAAGGAATCCTGTTTCTTTTTCATTTTCCTGTAAAAAAAGTAAATGATTTACATTTAAGTAATAAAAGTGCTTAATACTATTTACTCAAAAAAATAGTATGATGATAATTTGAAGCTTTAAGAAAGGAAATGTTAATCACTGACATGTTCCGTTTTAACGATGTTTTATTCATATCCATGATTTTACGATGAGACCTGCCTGCCTCATTTTCTTCAAACTAACAGTGTAAATGGACCAAATTTGTACAGAGAACATGATGCATTTAGCTATGGTGTTGCAAACGGTCAACCATTACCTGTGCAACCAATGAGTTTCAACCTGGCTATCTATCATGGTTCAGTTTCCGCTCTTGGATTTAGTTGTCCAAGCAGAACAATGAGCCCACAGCCTCAAATGGCAACACAACAATCTGATTTTCAAATGCAATAATATCCTCAAATCCAGCAATCTTATAGTGATGTGATAATAAATTCTCAAGTGTCTTCATTTCAAGCACAGCAACAGTATCCAGGTACGATTTTAAATCCCAACCAAGATAAAGTAGCCTCTCAACAGTTATCTACATCTGAATCACTTCCAAGTTTGAATTATATTAGAAATCCTAATAAAAATGGTGCTTTACCACATTCTCGAGTAATGTCTAACAATTATCTCCTCATGTGGTTTGCATTCGGCTCCGAATTGTAGCACAATATCATCACATCAGTCAAGAACATCTATTATTTCTATGGGGACTCAGAATATTGTCAACAGAAATATTCCTCAATTACAACAAATTTCTTGTCGATCATCTACTACCAGGGCTGTATCCTCTGAATCGGCTTCTTTCCAACCGTCTCCACTGTATGTTCCGCATTCTTCTGAATGTTCAATCTCGCAACCAGCAGCTAGAATAGCTGTTCCGACGTGCAACACAATACCGCAGGCGATTAATAACACTCTAGTTTCAGGCTCAGTCTGTTGTACTGGGCAATCATCCAGGCCATCTGTTGGTTGCCGGACCCAAGTCTCTCCCGATCCTCCAACTTCTACACCTGTACTACAGCAACAACAAATGTATAGCTCACAACAATCACGTCCTTTAAACAATTCGGTTGCCCTCACCCGTGTTCTCCTTTACTACTACTACGTATACACGATTTACATTCAAGAATAAAAGTGCTTAACACTATTTACTCAAAAAAATAGTATGTTGATAATTTGAAACTTTAAGAAAGGAAACGTTTAATGTAACAAAATGGAAAAAATCACTCGAAAAATCGAAACGACTGATCGATCAATCAATGTGACGAAATGTTAGAGAGCATTTTGTTGCTCTTTCTTGTAAACCTACCACCTTGTAACAACATAATTAAAGATTCCCATTGTGAAAATTAGAACAACACAGATATAAGCGAACAATATTGTTGTTTTCGATTAGATCGTCATCAGGCTGCTTTACTCTAATATGTACATGAATATCTATATGAAAATGTTAAACCAATCAAGGCAATTTAAGAGTTAATAATCACAATGAAATGAAATAGAGATTACGTCACTACACACATAATAGGCAAAAGTACAAGTGGATAGTAGGAAGACAGAGGTGTACTGATAGTAGTGAGAAAATTATAAAATATGATAACTACACATTGCAGAAGCCATAGGAATACGTACATTCAACCCTAATTTGTGTTCAGAAGAAATTCGTGACACCCCTATCTCTTCCGTGGCCGGATATGACGTAACTAACGATCGACATTATTTTTTTTAATTTTTTACACATTTGCTTATTACGTAACGGATTTTGGTGTTTTAATGATTATTTGAAGTCTATTCATCCACGTTCGACCTACTATTGACAAAACTTTGGTTAACATATTTGATAATTTTCTCACTACTATCAGTACACCTGTCTTCCTACTATCCACTTGTACTTTTGCCTATTATATGTGTAGTGACGTAATCTCTATTTCATTTCATTGTGATTATTAACTCTTAAATTGCCTTGATTGGTTTTAACATTTTCATATAAATATACACGTATATATTAGAGTAAAGCAGCCTGATATCGATCTAATCGAAAACAACCATATTGTTCGCTTATATGTGTTGTTCTAACAACATAATTACCCGAATTCAACAAATGCTATACTGATAATTGAAAACATTTTCAAATTTCTTGTCTAAATATGCAGCATTGTTTGACCTTGAAAGTAATTACATTCAAGCTTATTTCATTCAAGGTCATATGTGATTGCGTGATTTCGTTGAAAAATCTCTACATCATTTATAGTTTATTGAATAGTAAAGTAAGGCAACTATAACTGAATTATGACAATCTCGCAATGTTGTTTAGTAGTTGACATTGGTCTATCACGATTTAAATTTCTATCTGCTTGCTTATTCATTCTTCTGACAATTAATTACTTGTCTTTCACCGCAAAGTGAATGAAGAATGAATTTTAGTTCGACAGCATATTAGAAATATATCACATTTTCTGACATTCTTTTTAATTATTTGCAACCTAATTAAAAATCGAATGATTTAACATGATCATTCCAAATCAACGATGTACATGGCCTTCAAGATCCTAAAGGAACAAATGGTGTATTGTCGGTCAACGGCTACCAAGAGACTGCATCTCATAATAAATGCTTCACTGCCTTGTGAATTACATTTTTGGGTCGAAGGCTCGTGATTTGACCTCTTAAGAAAACCCCCGTGCTTAGGCATGGGTTTCAGGGCAGTAAGTATCCTAGCCAACTCTTACACTTGCTTTTTATGTACTTCAATATATAACACAACATGAACCAGTTTTGATGTTTTAGTACGTGGTTGCAAAACTGAATATGATTTGGATCGGTAACCTCTACCTAACTATAATTAATGATCATTTTTGACTTGAAGATAAAGAGTAAATAAATATTCTATATCTTTTCACCATTTCTTTCGAATCAGTAATTTATTCTTTGTGAAATCTAAAAATGGCATCAAATAACAACTTATTTATACTAGTAAACGAAGTGGTACGTTTATCTATGTTGGGGATGTTAGATAAACCCAGAACTAGCTTGATAAATGCATTGATTTTGGATTTCACGTTTGCCAGCATGGGCTGATCAGTTGACACTGAGATTTCATTTCCCACCAGCAAAATCCATGGCTGTGATTGGCCACTGTGTATTTTACTGTGCTATTTTTGTAACTGTCCTAAGGACGCTTCTTTGATGTATAAATAAACGAGAGTTGTGTGCTTGGTTGTAATGTAATTGCTGGGTGTTTGTAGAATATACTTTCTACGCTTACAAAGACTTCTGTTTTGCAGTTTTTGGATCAAGGTAGCCTATCTGGACGCTGGTAATTGTCTCGTTCGTGTTTATCGACTAAGATGAACTCGTAATAGCTTCAAGGGTACCTAGTGACGAACTTGTCAGTGACGACGGGGATGGGATGATGAGCTTGTCTTGTTGTCCTGTTGTCATGCTTCCGGATGCCTTTAACCGGGTGTCCGGAGCGGACGGCATCTTTGTTTTGGACAAATTTGACTGCTCACAGCAGGCCTATGCGCCTAAAAATTCTTGCGTGGAATAATGAAATAGGACTTCGGTTCTATTTTGTTGGTTTTCAGATCCGAATTAATGGTTAAGAGGGACAGACGGGGGCATTTGTATGGCGGTGAGAAACTTATCAAGCTATCATAACAAGAGGTCATTATAAATTCTATGTATTATGTAACTTTAATGGGCAACTTGATAATAAGAATACATCTCTCAGTTTTAACGATGAAACCAAGTACAAAAAACTTATTTATGAATTAATTTTTATACGTGAATTATATTTATCTAGTTGAACAATTAGACATTTCAACGCTAGAAAACTATTTGAAGAAACAATTATTACAACTAATTGAGTTTCAAGTGTTGATTTATTGCATTGTCATATTTTTAAATTCATCAAACATTATTTGCAAAAGAAAGCAGGAAACCACTTGTAATCTCATATAAATAAGTATGATGAAAGGAAACCTATTCTGAAATTAGTGAAAAAGAGAGCAATATCCAACAATAAGTTGTCTAAAGTTGTAAACGTTTTGAAAGTCAGTAGATCTTTTGATGTGAAGCTCTCATGTTATTTTCTACGCTTTACAAAACTTTCATCATACAGACCTACTTTAATAAGATTAAAAATTATTAACGGATTAAGGTTTTTAATTGTGGGAGAGAACAAACCAGATTCCAGTGGAGGAGGATATCAGGAGGAAGTGGTGGAAGTGGATAGGACACACACTACGAAAAGCGCCCAACTGCGTCACAAGACAAGCCCTCACATGGAATCCTCAAGGCAAAAGAAAAAGAGAAAGGCCAAGGAACACACTACTCCAAGAAATAGAGAAAGATGTGAGAGGAATGAACAAAAAACTGGAAAGAACTTGAAAGAGAAGCCCAGAACAGAGTAGGTTGGAGAATACTGATAGGAGGTCTATGCTCCATTGGGTGTAACAGGCGTAAGTAAGTAAGTAAGCAAGGTTTTTAGTATATTCTTTGGTGGATAACAGTTTGAAACAGTTTTTTAATTTGATAAGATTTCTCAATTAGGGTTTATATAGAAGCTCCTGAGCTTGGGAATAACAGCCACAGAAAACGAGTGGACAAAAAACTTCCTCTGTAGCTAAAGACGCAGCGTAAGCGTAAATAGGACAATGTGAGAGTGGAAATAAGTCGAAATTGGTATAAAAGGAGTCACCTCAATGAATTCCCTATTGTTACTGAGACTTACTTTACTTAAGCCTGTTACCTCTGATGAAGCATAGGCCAGAATTACCAAGACTGCTTAACTGTTATTTGCAGACAATGTCGAAATTTGAGGAACAATAAGTACTGAAGCTAATCATCTTGATCTTGGAGTTAACATGAACGAATTAGTTGGTCTCACGGTCGGGGCTAAGAAATTAATCCTAGAAATAATGTGTTAATGCACATCGAACACGACATTAGTTACCAATAAACTGTGAATCTCTACCATGCATGTATTCGGAAAAATACTCAGGAGTTATAGTGAGTCAGGACTTGAAAACAACTGCACATTGTAAAACAGCAACAGCAAAAGATTTTCGGGTGTCAAAGCATGGCGTCACCTTGCTGAAAGTTTGAACAGTAGGAAGCTTAACCAACTAACAAGAAAACCAAACTAGGCTGCTAAAATTAGTAATTAAATCTTTCAGCGAAAGGAACTTAATACTGCAGAATGGAAATAAACTGAAAGGATCCGGAGGCTTTGTTCGCAAAAACTTGCAAGTCGCAGATCGTATTAGAAAACGGGAGGCTGGAAAAGAACTAAGGTTGGTTCCTGGCGAAAAAGACCTCAAAATTTTAAATTATCGGATGATGAGGCTTAGACAAAGAATGATACAGAAACCACTCTGGATACAGCACGAAGTTAGCTGTGGCCAACAAACTCCAGAAGCATATATAGAGAGAAGTAGCCTTATTCGTCATAAATATCGAAGAGATCACATGAAAGTAGGACTTGCGAATTAGTTAATTGCTACTGATAGTGCAAAGTGCAAGAGATACTAATTGGATTGGTTTATCACAGCGGAAACTGTGAGGTGAATGAAGTCTTGTTAGAAAAGCCCAACAGTTGGTCCTTAAGTGGTCCATGTTTGATTCTAGGGAACTTTAGTGCACCTTCGATAGACTTGGAGAATGGAGGGACTGAATTGCTAGTCAATTCTTTAGAACAGGTATTAGATGACATGGTTAGTACAAGTGACCTAGTCTTACGTGTAAGAGAATCAACTAAGTACGATTCAGGTTCTGAATCATCCATATCAGGTCTCATATTAACTCAGTATGGGGATAACGTCTCAAACCCCGCTAATATACCACTCCCAGCTAAGACTGACCATTCAGTTCTGGTCTGATCACCATATCTCTATCAACAGCGATGTGTCGGCTTAAGCCAGACCAAACATTTGGAGGACACATATACAAGACATCGTAAACTCAGCAGATTATACCATGAAACCAGAGTCTCCTATTGAAAAGGCCTGGTAGGTATTCAGAAATTTATACATGTAAGGTGCTGCATCGCACACTCCAAGGACAACACAAGATAGCGCTGGAAAGTCCCTAATGTGTCTCAATAGGGAATCCCACTGTCTCTGGTTTGTTGAATATGCTTGATTCAGGTAAAACTATGTAACCTGATGGAATGCATCACAGATAACTCAGGGAAGTAACAAGTTTCATCGTAAATCCCCTAAGCATATGTTGTAATCTATCTGTAAACCAAGGTAGATTACTGAACACTCGAAGAACATCATGGTAACCCCCGTCTTTAAATTAGGTACACGACATAAACAGAACTATCTACTTGCATAGTTTATATGTAGAGGTTTAAATAATCGCAACCAAGTTGATTCCCGTAATAGCAAAGTTGTCGTATGAAGAGGGACTGGTTAAACTGAACCTATTTCCTTTAGGAAATTGAGATGACCTAATGACTATTTATAAATTGCGTACTGGTAAATTTGCATCTGATGTGCTATAACTTGCCTTATCTTCCGAAAAAGAGGATTTATGGGGATACTAAGTGAGTTCACAGACCCATAACAAATTTCTTGTCAACTGACTACAAACTTTATCATTGAACTGTCAACAAATGGAACTGCTATCCTAACATGTTATTGAAGCCTTATATGTCTACGCATTCAAGATAAAGCTGGATGAACATTGCTAGGACTAACACAGTATATTCAGCCTTCTCTCTCTTTCAAATTCAAACTGAATAGGCAAGTAACATGAGGATTAACTTGAGGTGGTAGGGCAAATATGCAGCTGAGGTCGATGATTGTGGTGGAGTTTTGTCCCTTGAGCTAAGAAAACAAAACTCCACCACAATAAAAATTATGACTGAACACTTATTCAAAAACAGGGTCTTTGCAGAATTACCTACTGAAAAGAATAATCTTTTCAGTAAAGTTAATATATGCCAGTCTATAAATATGGCAAGCAAACAAAAAAGGTAGGCTTTTAGGGGATTTTGGGAAAAATACTTCGGAAAATTTGGTGTGAATGCGAAAGATACTTCAAATTGTAGTATTTCGAACCAGACTGTGGTTAATTGTGAGAATTTCCCCTAAAATCTCCATATTTAGAAAAAAGATACATATGAAATCAAGCAAAAATTTACCTTCATCAAACCCATTACCCACAACTTTAAGCTTTGAAACCAGTAATACGTTTATATAACCAAGTTTTCAGCTTATTACGTTTCTTATAAAATCAAACTATGGTTATGTTTCTGAAGTCTCTATGAAACTGAAAGACTGATTTTTTTCAATTGCCTGACTGGGTAACTCTGAAAATTGGCATTTCATTGACCAGTAACCATCTTATATTTCTGAAGAAATATTTTTTGTCTTTATAGCTGCCAGTGATAGTTATAAAATTAGATTTTGCAAAGGCCGTTACACACACTATGTAAACTAAATATGACTGCCATTGCATAAAATGCGACTTATCCTCCGAACATGTCTATGATAAACAATAAATTTTAGATACTACGTACATCATAACAACAGGACAAAAATTTGAAAACAAACTCAGCTGATTCGTAATTTCGCCATTCCACTTAGCGACCAATCAGAATTAAGCAGGACAGTGGTGCCCAATATCCAATATCTTTTTCACGAGCTAGTGTAAACCGATTTGATTCCCTCACTCGATTCTTGTTCTTTCGGTACGGTTCCAGGTGTTCGGTAATGTCCAATGGATGGAGGTCAAGCCACTCGACAGTCTAATTCTAGTGAGTTGGCAGTTGGTTGTGAGTTTGCATGTCTCGGGATTTGAATGAAAACGTTTGTTTCAGGGCAGTAGGTTTTCTGGATACTTGCAGCCGTCACATTACCAGACCGGAGATCAGTAAGTAATAAGGGTAATAACGATAAAATTAAAATGATAATATGAATAAAATTTCAGAACTGAGTAATATACAGATGTATTTAGTTTGTTAATTGGTAGTGAGGATTGTGAGAGAGGGCCGAAGTGTAAGCAAGGGTGAGGAAACAGAGATGAGAGGCGAGGTAGATTAATTGAGTGATCTGAGCAGGTGGCAATGGTAACAACTAGCAGGTCTCAAGATATGCATCATGAACATCTTCTGCAAGAGGGAGATGATAGTCCGTATGCGAGTACGTGATTATCAAGTCTCTTCTAAAAGCAATCCACTGAGGGGCTGTGGTTACCTCGGCTGTGACAGCATCCCAAGTTGCGACGACTCGCAATGAGAAGAAGTCTGCACGAATCTGAGTATTTGCTCTTTGATGTGCAATCTTTCGAGGATTGCCTCGAGGGGAGTGGTGGTGTTGCGTCGGTAAGATGCACACATTGGGATGGTTTGGCGTGTTTAATATGGTGTACGCCATAATCAGATCGCCTCTGATTCTCCTGTAGCTCAGTGAAAATAATCCCAGGAGCTGGAGTCTATCGTCGTAGGGTTTATTTTTCAACCCTATCACCCATTTGGTTGCTCGTCGCTGCACTCGATCCAAGAGATTTGTGCATCTTTTAAGTAGGGGGTGCGATGACGTTGTGAACCTCAAGGTGTGGGCGCGCATACATCTTAAATAGTGTTAAGAACCATTTTGAGGTAATAGCACTAATTTGTCTTCGTAAAAACTGAAGAGTCGCATTCGCCTTCGGATTTTCCAACTGTCCGCGTATTCGTTCCTAGGTGTTGCTCAGTATATTACTTACTTACTTACTTACGCCTGTTACCCCAAATGGGGCATAGGCCGCCCACCATTTTCTCCAACCAACTCTATCCTGGGCTTCCTTCTCCAGTTCTGTCCAATGTTTGTTCATTCCTCTCATATCTTTCACTATTTCTCGGCGTAATGTATTCTTTGGCCTTCCTCTTTTCCTTTTGCCTTGAGGGTTCCATGTGAGGGCTTGTCTCGTGACGCAGTTAGGTGCATTTCGCAGTGTGTGTCCTATCCACTTCCACCACTTCTTCCTCATTTCCTCATCCACTGGAATCTGGTTTGTTCTTTCCCACAGCTCGTTGTTGCTGATGGTGTCTGGCCAACGAATACGAAGTATTTTGCGTAGACAACTGTTAAGAAACACTTGTATCTTCTGGATGATGCCTTTCGTATTTCTCCAAGTTTCCGCTCCATACAGTAGAACTGTCTTCACATTTGTATTGAAATTCTTGATTTTGGTTTCGGTTGAAAGTTGTTTGGAGTTCCAGATATTTTTCAATTGTAGAAATGCAGCCCTCGCTTTGCCGATCCGCGCCCTCATATCTGCATCGGATCCACCTTTCTCGTCGATGATGCTGCCCAGATATGTAAAGGTGTTAATGTCCTCCAAGGCATCTCCATGAAGAGTGATTTGATTGGTGCATGTTGTGTTGCATCAGAGAATTTTGCTTTTTCCTTGATGTATGTTGAGACCTACTGCTGCAGAGGCTACTGCTACACTGGTCGTCTTCTCTTGCATTTGTTGTTGAGTGTGCGATAGAAGAGCTAGGTCATCTGCGAAGTCCAGATCGTCCAGCTGCGTCCTAACTGTCCAGTTGATACCGTGCTTCCCTCCAGATGTCGAGGTCTTTATGATCCAGTCGATGACCAGGAGAAAGAGAAAGGGTGAGAGTAAGCAACCTTGCCTGACACCGGTCTTCACCTCGAACGAGTCTGTTAGCTGTCCTTCGTGTACGATTTTGCAGTTGAATCCATCATAAGAGTTCCGTATGATGTTAACTATTTTCTCAGGCACACCGCAGTGTCGAAGAAGAGTCCACAGTGTTTTCCTGTCCACGCTATCGAATGCTTTCTCGTATTCGATGAAGTTAATGTAGAGTGGTGAGTTCCATTCAGTTGATTGTTCCACAATGATCTGTAATGTAGCAATTTGGTCAGTACACGATCGATCTTTACGAAATCCGGCCTGTTGATCTCGAAGTTGGACGTCTACGAAGTCCTTCATTCTGTTTAACAATACCCTGTTGAAGACTTTGTCTGGTATTGAGAGAAGAGTGATGCCTCTGTAGTTCTCACACTTGCTGAGATTGCCTTTCTTTGGTATTTTGATCAGGTATCCTTCTTTCCAATCTGATGGTACTTGTTCCTCATCCCAAATCTTCTTGAAGAGGATGTGAAATGTTTTCACAGTTGCTTCTACATCTGTTTTCATTGCCTCTGCTGGAATGTTGTCTGGTCCTGCTGCTTTGCCGCTCTTGATTTGTCTGATGACCATACTGATCTCCTCAATCGTAGGTGCGCCAATATTAATTGGGATGTCCGTGGATGCTGTTTCGATGTTGGGTGGGTTCAGTGGAGCTGGTCGATTGAATAGTTCCTTAAAGTGCTCTACCCACCTATTTCGCTGTTCGTCAGTGTTGCTGATTACTTTCCCTTCCTTACTTTTCACTGGTCGTTCTGGTTTACGATAGTTTCCGGCCAGTTTCTTTGTTGTTTCGTACAATTGTCTCATGTTTCCTTCTCTTGCAGCCTTTTCCGCCGTCATTGCTAGATCTTCCACATATTTTCGTTTGTCAGCTCTGATGCTGTTCTTCACTTCCCTGTTTACTTCTGTATACTCGGCTTGCGCCTTGTTCGGCTGACATTCACTGCTGCCTTCTTGTTCCTCCTTTCTTCAATTTTTTCAAGAGTACCAACAGAGTTCCATTCCTTGTGATGGTACTTCTTGTGACCCAGAACTTCGTGACATGTTGAAGTGATTGCCTCCTTAATCCCTTTCCAATTGTTCTCCAATGTTGCTTCCTCTCCATTGAGTAGATCCTGAAATGCCTGGAACCTATTGGTGAGGGCTATCCTGAATTCGTTGAGTTTTACGGTATCCCGAAGAAAGGCCGTATTAAACTTGTGTGATGTTGTCTGCCCCGTTGTCCAGTACTTCTTTAGTTTCAGTTTCATTTTGGCGATTAGTAAATGGTGATCTGAAGCTACATCAGCTCCTCTCCTGGTTCTCACATCCTCCATAGTCCTTCTGAACGTTTTGTTGATACAGATATGATCAATCTGATTTTGAGTAGTGTGATCCGGTGAAATCCATGTGGCTTTGTGTATGCGTTTGTGCGGGAATATTGTGCCACCGATGACCAGTTTGTTGAAGGCACATAGATTTGCAAATCTCTCACCGTTTTCGTTCCTTTCTCCCAGTCCATGTCGTCCCATGATGTCTTCATATCCAGTGTTGTCCATTCCAACCTTGGCATTCAGGTCTCCCATGAGAATCGTCAAATCCTTTGGTGAACATTTATCGACGATTGACTGCAGCCTTTCGTAGAATTGATCTTTATCGTCGTCATTGTAGTCATTGGTAGGTGCATAACATTGGATGACGTTCATTGTAATGTCCTCTTTCTTTGTTTTGAAGGATGCTTTAATGATCCTGTGTCCATGAGATTCCCATCCTATCAGTGCCTTTTGTGCATGTTTGGACAGCATCAGTGCAACTGCTTGTGTATGTGAAGCGTTTTCCTCTTCATGACCAGAGTATAACAGCAGTTCCCCTGAAGCTAGTCTCAGTTGTCCTACCTGTGTCGAATGCGTTTCACTGATGCCGAGCACCTCGAGGTTGTATCTTTTCATTTCTGCCGCAACTTGAAATAGTCTTCCAGTCTTCCACAATGTACGAACGTTCCATGTACCTAAAAGAATGGTTGCTCTGGTTGTCAGAAGAGGCATCGGCCCCGTGACTTCCGAAGGAACTCGACTTTCATCACGCGACGTCATAATTCTTCTTCCAACTCCCAGGGCAGAGTTAAAATGGTTTGAATTATTTTTTCTGGTTAGCGTTTTTTTGGCAAGTTAGTTTTTGACGGAATGGGGTCGCCAACCCCATGTCCAACCCTCCTCCTTTATCCGGGCTTGGGGCCGGCAGTAGCCCCGAAGGTTCTACTGGCGGAGTTATATTACTGGGAACTATGAACGAAAACAATCTCTGGTTTGTAATTCACATTGGTATAATGGATAATCCTGTACTGTCACTGAGTCAGACGAACATAAGTTGTTTAGTTGTTATGGATATCGGATTATAAGACATCTGACAAGCCAGTACCAAGTCATCAAATATATATAATGTAACACGTTTAGATGACGGAAAGTTAATGTGTGGGTTATGAACAACGAGAAACCAAAAATCCACTTCATAAAAATGTTGTGTATTTGTTATTTCGGTCATAAAATGAAGACAGACGCTAATGATTTTGAAGACGTCACAGATATTTAGAGTCCATAATATCTCTTTGAACAAAATTACCAAAAGCCAAGTAAGAACACAATTCAGGATTCGGGAGGATCAAATTTGTGTTTGAACGATGGTTGGAATGTCGATCAGTGAGTGAAATAAGCTAGTAAGTTGATGCAACGAGCTGCGCTGCACAGAGTAATCCACGTTGGTTTGTTGCGGATGTATGACTGAGGATTTTCTGCCAGAATGTGTCCAGTAAAATTAATGGCGTTGGAATCGAAGCCAAACACTTATAAAACTATTTATTTTGCAGATTTATTCACCGCTATAGTCGGACTATAAAAGGCTGAATATATTTGTTATGCTACCCAATATAGATCGAAGCTAACTGGTCTCGAG